GGTACTTTCACAAGGGTTTAGGGTTTAGAGGTTTAGGGTTTAGGGGTTTAGGGGTTGAGGGCTTCTTGAACCCTTCACTGGCCAGGGCCTCCGCCTTCAAGCCCTTCACGGCCCTGCGAATGGCATCGATGGATTCCGTGTAGTCCTGGCCGCGAACAGGCTGTGGGGAGAAGGGGCGAAAGCCTCAAGGGCTCAAGACAAGTCTCCTTCAGAGCCGCCCGAAAGTCGGTGCGCTCTTTCTCACGGATTGCCGTGGCATTGGTCTTCTCGCCGCTGGTGGCCTCGATGTCGGCCACGTGGCCGGCAATCTCAGTGCTGAGACGATCTGCATCGGCCGCTGCCGACTCGATGTCAGCTTCCAGGGTCTCCAGCTTGTCGCTGGCGTCATCGATGGATTTCTTCTTCTCGGCCAGGGTCATCTCACAGAACTGCGAGAACTCCGTGTACTGAACCTGCTCCGCCTCCATCTCTTTCACCCCTTTCTCTTTCATATTTTCGAGCATCTGAACGACTTTCTGGGCAGGTGTGACATCAGACCTCAGTATGGGCCGTGTTGCTTGGCGCGCAAGCATCCTGCGCATCCCTGCATGCAAACAACCGGCACAAGGCCCCGGCGCCAACACGGCCGAGACCACAGCTGCCAGCAATACGCTGCACTTCATTGCGCGAAAGCTGGTTCGGGAAGGGCTACAACACACTAAAGGTCGTACTGCCAGTCCGAACCCACTGGCCGCGTCACGCGAAACATGTTCAAGAACCTGCTCTCAAGTCTCAACCGCCGACATTTGATGAGTGTCCTGCCGATGCAGACTTTTCTCCAGGAGCCGAGTCTCAGCCTCAGCAAGCCCTGGCTTGTCTGTCTCCTGCCATGTCAGGACATGTCAGGACCTAAGGTTTCGGTCGCGTAGGGACAGCGGAGATGTGGAGGAGCCTCGATGTCGTCACTTGGGGAGCTGCTCTCCTCCCCTTCCGACGGCTCCTCTTGCTGCTCCTCAGCTAGAGGCTGTGATAACAAAGCGCGGAGAGTGTGAGGTGAGGCTGAGGATGATGTGAGGCGAGGGTGAGTCGAGAGAAAGAGAGAGTGAGGGTGACGGTGAGCGTGGCAACAAACCTGAGCCCTTTTTCCCCCAGGCTTGTTGGAGCTCCCCTGGCCATGTCTCCCGCAGCACACCGCACTCGTGACGAAATGTGCAAAGCTAAGTATGCACGATCTTTTATCATCTTTAGCATCTCAAGAGCTTATCTGTCGGATACCTGAACCCAAACCCGAAACCCTAAACCCCAACGTCTCAATCTAGACTCGCACTCGCACAAACGTCCCACAAGCTGCCAAGGCTCGACAAACTCTTCCTTGCCACGCCCTGCTTGCCTGACAGAGAAGCAATGCATGTGGTGAGCTTCGTTTCTCGGAAAGGGCTTGGCCTTAACAAGGCTTGTTGAAGGCTACCCTAAACCGTCTCAAACGGCCGCAGACCCTAAACTCTATCCTCTTCCTTTTTTCGGGCGCCTTAGAGCCTGCAGCAACGTTGCAGCTCGCGCGGCCGGGTCTGGTCCCAGCTTTCCTGATCTGGTGTTAGGTGATGCTCTGAAGTCTTCCTGTCATGACTGCTTGGACCAGAAGCTTCAGAACGTCTCGACCAGGTGGATGGATGAATGAAGCTAGCCCACATTCAGCTGAGAATCAGCCAAAGAGAAAGTTTAGCCATCATCAGGCGTGAACCCATATCATGTCGGAGTGAGGTCAACACCTCGTTCACCGAACTTGCAGTGCTGTCCAAGAATCCAACTGCACGATGTAAGATCACAGAGCGTAGAGGTATGGGCTGCGTGGCAGGGCCTCGGCAGGCTCTCACTGTATGATTTCTGATTTCAAACGAAGCAGTTCGCAAGCGTCAAAACGGCCGCCGGCCGGGCCTCTGTGGCACGGCCAAAGCTTCTGACACCTCGCCTCGCCATGCGATATTCCGGCTGCAGCATTGAGCAAGATAGTCCCTGCTTGGTAGGGCCAGAAACCAAAAATGCACGATCTTGCACGAGACCGTGCAAAGCTAGAGCCATGGCGCTTTCGACAGAAGAGAAGTGGGCGAGGATCAAGGAGCTAGAGTGCGAAATCGAGCGGCTCAAGAAGGCGTCCAACTAGATCTCGATGAGCACAGCTTGCCTGATTTTTTCAGGGCATCATCTAAACCCAAAGCCCCAAACCCCGTAGAAGCCTAAAGCGAATGTTAAGTCATTTGCGCTCTGCGGAGGCGAAGCGCGAGCAGCAAAAGCTGGACTCGGCTGGGAGCTGTTTTG